ATAATAATAATAATATTATTATAAAATTAATTCAATTTACATACCTACCCCCACCCAACCATCATCCACCCAAACCCTAATTCTATTTTATCTCTCCCGTCTACAACTCTCCTCCATCTCTCTACAACTCTACATCTCTCTCTATTCTCTCTCCTTGATGTCGTCGGCAACCCATTGTGCGATTCAGACAGTCGGAGGTGCACAACCCTAGCCAGAGCAGCACCATGGAGTCATCAAACGTCGGAGCAATGAATACTCATCGGTCGGTTGAGCTTGATCTCACGTGCCTCCTTTGAGTAACTTCCACCGCCACCGCTGTGAATGGGTATCAATTTTTTCATTACCAGCCAACCATGGCGGTTTCGCCCACTGGACAATCGGGTCTTTACTTTGATCCGACGTCAGGATACCGGTTGAATACGGCGGCGGCGGTGTGTAGAGTGATTCAAATTCTTCTTCTATTGTTGATGAGAATCAAATCGATAGAAAGAGTGTTTTGGGTTTTGATCTTAATCTACCACCAGCCGTGGATGAAGCTTGAATCTTCACGGTGAAATAGACTGCTCAGATATGCTTGTGGTGTGGTAGTGTTTCTCCTTATGGATCTGCTTCGCCAATCTCGATTAAATAACTGCTCAGATCTACCCACTCCGTCAGACGCCAATCTAGAGGCTAAGCAGATCTCCTTGTGGAAGTGTTTCTCTAGAGGTGAAGCAGATCTACCCACTCCGTCAGACACCGACGCCGCCGCGATGCTGCTGTAATGAATAGGCGAAGCAGAAGCAGCATTGGGTGGGTTTGAATGGTGTGTTGTGTGGTGGCGGTTTGTGGTGGTGGATTTGGCGGTTGGGGTGGGTTTGGACAAATTTTTGTGCGGTGGTGGTGATGATGTTTGTGTGGTTGTGGCAGCGATGGCAGTGACGGTGGTTGCGGGTGGGACGACGTGGGGTAGGGATGTTTGTTGGTGGTTATCGTTGTGTGCAGGCGGCGACAACGGTGGTGATCGTCATTTTTTGTTGTAGGTGGTTGTCGTGTCGGGGTGCAGGTGGCGGCGATAATGGTTTTGTAGTTGAAGATTTGGTTTGTTTGTTGTTGGTATGTTTGGTGGTGATG